CCCCGCCCAAGCGCCGCGGCACGGCCCAGCAGCTCCACCGGCCCCACTGGGGCTCTGCGGGTACCCGCGGGAGCCAGGCAGATGGAGCCCCCGGGGTGCTGCAGGCAGAGCAGTGCCACGGCCCCGCAAGCCCACGTGCGCGCTGCAGCTGGGTGCCGCTGCAAGGGGCTCAGGTGTAGCCGTGCCCAGGGGTCGAAAGTTGCCACGAAACTGCCGGCCATATGTGCTCATACAGCTGTGCACATGCATGCCTGTGCCCCCACACACGTGTGCACGCACAGCTGTGCGCATGCATGTCTCTCCCTCCATGTACATGTGCGCACATATGTGCATGCACAGCTATGTACATGCATGCCTGTCCCTGCATACACACACGTGCACATACGTGGCTGCCAGCCCCATTCAGGCAGGTTTGAAGGAAGTTTGGCCATGCGGAGAAGAAGCTAATTAAGATAGACTTTTAATTAAGTGTCTATTGGAACCCTCCAAAGCTGGTTCCACCCCAGCGGGTCTGCAAGAGCAGCGCAAACTCATAGCCCTGGCCAGGACTCCTGGGTCCCATTCCCAGCTCGGTGCAGCAATGGGGGAGCACGGGAAACTTTGGGGCTTCATGTCCTATCCTAGAAAAAAAAAAAAAAAAAAAAAGGCAGAATTTGAGATTTCAAGAGAGCAGGCAGCCCGCTGGGATCCCTGCTTCTGCTGCCCCGAGGCCCCGAGGATGGCTAACGGGGGAGCCCTTCGTTAAACCCACCATCCTGGGGCGGGGGGTATGCCGAGACGCCAGCACCTCCGCCATCACACTGCTCTGAGCGGGCACACGCGTGTGCACGGCCAGGGCAAAGCCCCGGGTGCCATGGGGATCTGTCAGCACCGCCGGCGACAGGGCGGCCCCATCCCCGCAGGGTGCTCATCTGTGCACCAAGTCGGGGTTATTTGTCCCCTTTTCCAATTGCGGGAACGTAAGGAGGGGCTGGGGCCCCCACAGCCCTGGCTCGCCTCCCGGCCCCCAGGCACGTGGCCGAGGGCCAGAGGCTTTCCCAGCGTGGAGAGCGCCAGAGTTGTGTGAAAGGGGCTTTGTGCGCTGTGGGGCAGCGAGCGGCGCCCGGGAACAGGGGCGCCGAGGGGACCCGACCGCTCCGGCATAGCAATGAGGGTGCCTTTATGCCAGGCTGGCGCGGGGACGCAGAGCTGCTCACCACCGGTAAACTCGGGGCAGCACAATGAGGCCAGATCCCGGGGTTTTCCCCAGCTTGCGGTTGCTGGGCAGGATTTGGGGGGCGATGGGCACATGGCCACCGGGAGCCACGTCCCCTCCGAGTCGCAGCATGGTGGGGGACATCCTGGGCGGTATCTGGCCCCTCCAGGCTGGTGGGGATTGGGGAGCAGAGCAAGGGGCGAGGAGGCTTTGGGGACACGCATGGTGGCTTAGGGGGAGCAGCGGCCAGCAGGAGCCCTGAGAGGTGGCTGGGACAGAGCCACCGAGGGTGGCTGACCCCAGGCACATTGATGGGGGACAGCAGGGTCTCTTGTGCACTCGTGGGGACGCTGCAGTGACGGGGACAGGCCTCGCTGGCTGGCAGCTAGGTGGCAGCCGATGGCCGGGAAAGGCTCCCTGTCCACACTGGTGCCGAGAGCTGCTGGTGGGCCGTGGCCTGGCCACCAGGGATGGGCTGGCTGCCCCAGGCTGCCTGCTGCCGCCATGTCCTGGGCTATGTCCTGTGGCCGTGTCCCTGGGGACTATGTCCCATGGCTGTGGCCGGAGAGGACAATCTCATCCTTCCAGCCTGGCAGCCCATGGTCCTGGCAGGGCAGAGCAGGGGACGGCGCTGAGATCGGGAAGCCAGCATTGGTGGCCGGCTTCCCAGCAGAGGCTGCAGCGGGGACAGGAGCGGGGCTGGATGCAGGATGCTCCCGGGGGCCAGCACCCATACTGGCACGCCAGGACGCCTGGGTCCTGCCACCAGACCTTGTGCAGGGGGGCTGCAGCCCTCGGGAACCAGAAGCAGGAATTAAATCACAGCAACTCACTCCCCATCAAAGCTCCTCATCCGTGAGGCTAGCTTGGGGTCTCACGCTCTAATGGACGTAAAACCACCCAGCAGGGTCCCTAGGTACCTCGAGCCGAATTTCAGCACGAGAGCACCCTGTCCTGAAGCCAAAGGGACATGCGGCCTGGGGAACCTGCAGCCCTCGCTCTCGCCGCCACCGCACCAGCATGGAGGGAGGGCTGCTTGGTGCAGGGAGGCAAGGCGGGCGCCGGATCTTCGGGGCACTGAGGAAGTCTCCGCTAATCTCCCCTGATACTTATTTTCTCCTGGCTCCTACGCAGCCAGGATCAAAGCATTGACGCCTTTTGCAAAAAGCTGTCACTCCCAGCGGCTGTGGGGAGGCAGATCTGGGCTCTCCCCCCACCCCCAGCCTCCTCTTAATGAGACAAATGAAGAGGAGAAAGCTGGAAGTTTTAATTATAAGCTTCCAGCCTCCAAGAATACAAAGGCGAGCACCCACTGCTGCAAGGCAGCTCTCCGCGCCAGAGCTGGGCAAGCGAAGTAGGTCAGGAGGAGCCGGTCACCCCCAAGCCCCAGGGGAGTAGCTTGCAAGCAGCTCCACCGCACACCCGGGGCCAGCTTGCGGCAGGAGCGCAGGGGCCAGGGCACGGGGGAGTGCGCTGAGCGCCCCAGCCCGGCTCAGACCTTGCATCCCTCTTCCCTGCACCCGTTCGGCAGTTTGGCCGGCTCCGAGGCTTTGTGGGAGGAAGTCGCCTTCAACGCGGGTCACAGGGACCCAGATGCATCGTGGCACCCAGGGACCAAGCTCTGGCTAGAAAAATAGGATCCAGCGTCATTTCGTCCTCTGCCAGGGCTGGAAGGAGAGGAAAGCAGCTAACAGTGGGCTGCCCCGTTCACAGGCCACTGGAGCAGCCCAAGGCAGGTCCTTGATGGCTTCAGGCCCCAGTGCGGTACCCAATGTAGCACAGAAGGGCAGGGAATCACCACGGTGCAGAGGGGAGAGCCGCAGTGCCCAGGCAGAGATGCTGGGGTTGGCAGCTGGCCAGAGCTAGAGATAAGGGAGCCCCTAGGGCAAGAGTAGGGATGGGTAGACAGGAATGGCAGGAGGGGGTTTTTGCAGGGGGAAAGTGGTGCAGAACAGCTCTCCGCAGCCATCAAGCATAGTGGCAAGCGGCCTATGTCTCCCCTCACCCACTCCACAGGACATGGAGCAAACCACCTGTCCCTTCCAAGGCACAACAGAGGGGCAAAAGCCACTTAAGGGAGCCACCAACGTGAAGATGGGAAGCCACGATGGGCTGGGCAGGGCCGAGATCCCCCCTGCGGCAGCTCTCAGGGGAGCAAAGGCCTGTCCAGGGCCCGCTTAGGTGGGAGCTGATACCCAACCATTGCTTCCTGCGTGAGGCGGAGGCAAGGAGGCCAGAAGCAACATCCACACGTCTCCCCGCACCCCTCTGGTTTTAAACTAAAAGATTTATTAAAAGCATGTTATTTCTTAGCATCACCCATCTGTTAGCACTCGACACCCCGGCGCAGATTACAGAGGGGCTGAGAGGGAACAGCAATAATCCATCTGCTACAAAAACATACAGAGCTGAGCAGAGGGAAGGTACGTGTAATCCAGGACAACGCCAGGACCCCAGGGATGGGAACTGGGAGGTGTTTGGCCAGTTTTAGGGGGGATCAGGTTGGACATGGGGCAGCAGAAGGCTGGGAACAAGCTCAGGGTTGAAGGCTCTGCACTCCTTCCCTTGTATGAAGCAGAGGAAAAAGGGAAGATCAGTCCCCTCACCTCAAGGAAGGAGCTGGAGGGATGTGATGGGGGTGGTCTCAGAGAAGGGCAAATTTTGGCACCTGAGTTTGGGCCCCTGGGAGGGCCAGGCCACAGGGAGGGGTCCTGGACTTTGCAGGTAATCAGCATAAGAACTTCATGGCCTGGGGTTTGGGAGCAGCAGAGGCACTGCTGAGCACTGCTAGCTCTTTCACACTCCTCTTGCTGCCTTTCTGGCCAAGACTGCCCGAACAATGTTCTGAGGATTGAAACAGAGAGGAAGATGAGAGCCAGGTAAATTAAGCAGACCCAGGCCCCCTCCCAGAGGGGATCTAGGCGCTGGCCGCTCCATTCCCCTTTATAGCCTGCTCCAAGCACCCACCACCCTTCCCAAAGGCTGCATCCACAGTCCTGGCACCAGGAAGCAGCAAATCCCAAACAGCATTTTCCACCAGTGCCAAAGGTACAGACTCCAGGTATTTTCCACCCAGCAGCCTGACCTGCACAAGGGATTTGGCTGGCAGAGAGCAGCACCAGTTCACTGCCTGGTCCAAGGCAGGGATCTCTCCCATAGCCCATCATTTCGCAGGGAGCCTGGTTCCCTATGTGCCTGGCTGGGTGCAGAGGAGAGAAGGGCTTACCTGCGATGCTCGGGGGCTGCGCAGATCTCCGGCTGCTGCCTGGGAGTCGGGCAATGCGACTCTGGAGCCCTCCCAGTGAGCAGGAAGCGGCGCTGTTAAAGAGAAGCATGACACTTGGGAATGGCCATTTCAGGGGCTGTTAAATCCTGAGGCTCAGGGCAGAGGCAGCTGCCTCCAGTCTTTCCCT